TTATTTATTTATTTATTTGTCCACGAGAGCAAAGCGTTTGTCACGTGGTTTCTACTTGGCGTGTACACTGGGTTCCATTAGCAAAAGGTTGAGTATTTTATAAACTATTGTGATAAAAACTTAAGTAAAAAGTGTGCCACAAAAACAAACAAACTTAAGCTAGTTCATTATTTGATGACACTGTTGTTACAAATTGTTGCAAGTCTTCTATTTTCTGAATAATAATTAATTAAATTATATTTTGCCCTTCTCAGAATAACAAGAAAACAGAAGAAATGGAAGGTAAGCAAGTTCTAATGTCTGTCTGTCTATATGTATGTCTGTCTGTTTGTAAACAATAATTATCTGCTACAAACACAACATATGCCGTAGTAACACATACAAATACGAGCAATTTTTATTAAAATGAATTTCCCCAAATGATATGTTCTCATCCAAAACTACCTTTTGTCCTTTTCACAGATATTGCTACCCCAACTGTACCAGGAAAAATGATATGCTATATACATGGTCTATCCTCAGTAAAAAATGCAAACAACTCTGACAAGAAGTACTTCAACTGCACCCTACAATGTAAAGATAGAGTTCGTCGAGCTGTATGTTTCTCACAGCAGAAGCACCGTGAAATCAAAACGTTTTAAAACACAAAATGTGCAGTGAAGATTTTGCATTATACAATATCCAAAACTGATGACATAATATTGAACCACCAAACCAAGATAATCCAAAACGAAGAAACCACAGGATTCAACCACTCTGATGATCTGATACCCAGTGGCATGGTGACCAGCATTTCCGCACTAAATAATGTAGCCTCTGAGCAACTCATCAGCATCAAAGCACAAGTGGTGAACATTTCAGCTGTCAAAGTAGAGAAAACTCAATATCAAGGAACACTAAAGAAGCAAGAAGTTTTAATACGACACACTACAAGTTCCATTAAAGTCATTCTCTGAGAATCCTACACCGAAACCCTCGTGCTAAATTCAACTTATGTTTTCAAAAACCTTAAAGTAACTAGACGCTTTGCTGCATGTACCCAGGCAGTCGTTATACTGAGAACCACTAGCTATATTGCAATTGAGCTAAATGTTCTGCTATGAAGTTGTACGAAATTCAATCGAATTGATGTGCTTAAGCTATTCTGCTTTTGATTGCATTTCTTGGAAT